GTCCTAGATATGGGGAAAGACTGCGCTGAATGTATCGCTTCTCCTCATGGAAAGTTACTATGACCTATTTGATATTAACATAGGTACTTGGCTCCAAATTTGTTATATTTTATTATTTTATATTTTTTACTATATTTTGTGATAGCTCTTCTTTTTATAAAGTCGTGAGGCATTAATAGCCATGGGCTATTGCAAAATCAACTCTAGAAATGTGAAATCAAAATCATTTTTCAGAAATGTGAAAAATAAACTTTAAAATCAACTTTTAACAGCATCTAAATTTTAACAATAAAAATTTAAACTATCTAATATAATTATTTCAGACTGAAAAGGAGTTATTCTGGTTCTACAATCTTAAGATGTATAGATAGAAGCTCAATTTTCACTTATGAACTCATTTATTGAAAGACAGATGAATATTATGAGGTCAATATTTAATTATTTATTTAAATTAGACTGAATGAAATCTTGTAAAGGTTTTATGTGTTTTTCTCTTTTTGTTTTATATATAAGAAAGAAGTAAAATAAAAGTAAATCCCAAAACTGTTCCTATGTTAACCTTTTTTTAAAAAAATATTTCTTTTTAAAACTTTTAAAAGCCCTATTATGATTGTAAAGACTTGAGGCAGATCAGTATTTACTGCTTTTAAGATATTTTTTGCTATTTTCATATTCTATACATCAAATGTACTAAATTTAATTCATAGGGGAAAATTTCTTACAAGCTAACATTGTGCTTTTTTATTTGTTCAACTAGCATGTGATGAAATCTAGAAATAGCTATAAAGTTTGTTGAATTATTTAAGCAAAATAAATGTACCTAATGTGTTAAAACATTAGTTAAAACTGAACTTTATAGCTTTAAGCTTAAAAGAAAACTAGTTAAATTAAAAGACAAATGCCAAAAATAGAAGCCAGAAGGAAAGGCAGGGGTTTTTTAAAGTACCAAAAGACTTCCGCAGTTAAGGCTATCTTTACTCCAGTTGTAAGGCATTCACAGCACTTGGAGGGAGAATAATTTGACATTCACCCAATGTTACATGATCCCATTTTCTGTACTGGGGGAGCATCCCTTTCACCTTCAACTTACCTTTGATGAAAGCATCGCTTATGGAGATCATTTGTTGTCCTCCATTGTCAGCAATCATATACTCTGAATGAAGATAGAAAATAGAGATGGGAGGAGAAATGACAGGTTATGCTTGTATGCTATTATATGACATATACACCCATTCATTCCAGGAGGTTAATAAGAAACATGAGTCATGTATTTAGTCACTGAAGGCCTGTCCCGAGAGAACCTGTCTCGTTCGTTCTTCCTTCATTGTGTCAGCATAAATACTAAATTATCGTCCAATGGAATCGGTAGGTTATGAAAAAGATTCTGAAAAAAATCTTTTCCAGTGGGGCTTAATTAACTTCTTATATGGCAAGTATTTGAACAAGACAAGGAGGGGGGGGTCTTATCTTTTTTTTAAGTGGATTCTTGGTTGCCGCATCTAAGACAAGAGATGTGTTAAACATTCCTCATACCCCTTCCCTACTTCCTCTATCAACAACTCACGTTACTCAACTTTGTCCTCAGTTAATGGCTGTGGGGAAAAACACATATTTTGGACTCAACATTCCACGAGAGAACTGGGACAGCAAATTTGTATTTTTGCCTTGTCACCACAAGCTCTTTCTCATAGGACAAATACTGCCAGAAACATGATTAAAAGAAATAACGCCTAGAGGGGAGAGAAAAAGAGGAGGAGGAGGGAGGAAGAGAAAGAAAGAGAAGGAGAGAAGGGAGGAAAGAGAAGAAAAAGGGTAGGAGTAGGGAAGAGATAAGGGAAAGAAGAAGGGGATGGAGGCTAGGAAGGAAGAAAGTAGAGAAGGAAGGGAGGGAGAAAAGAAAAGAAAGAGAAAACAAGGTG